GAGCGAGCGAGCGAGCAGCGAGCGAGAGAGCGAGCGAGCGAGAGCGAGCGAGGAGCGAGCGAGGGCGAGCGAGCGAGTCGAGCGAGCGAGCGAGCGAGAGAGCGAGCGAGCGAGCGAGCGAGCGCGAGCGAGCGAGCGAGAGCGAGCGAGCGAGCGAGCGAGCGAGCGAGGAGCGAGCGAGCGAGCGAGCGAGCGAGCGAGCGAGCGAGCGAGCGAGCGAGCGAGCGAGCGAGCGAGCGAGCGAGCGAGCGAGCGAGCGAGCGAGCGAGCGAGCGAGCGAGCGAGCGAGGCGAGCGAGGAGCGAGCGAGCGAGCGAGCGAGCGAGCGAGAGAGCTAGCGAGCGAGCGAGCGAGCGAAGCGAGCGAGCGAGCGAGCGACGAGCGAGCGAGCGAGCGAGGGCGAGCAGCGAGCGAGCGAGCGAGCGAGCGAGCGAGCGAGGAGCGAGCGAGCGAGAGAGCGAGCGAGCGATAGCTAGCGAGCGAGCGAGATCGAGCTAGAGAGAGGAGCGAGCTAGCTAGCGATTATATCGATCTATCGATCTAGCTATCTATCTATCTATCTATCTATCTATCTATCTATCTATCTATCTATCTATCTATCTATCTATCTATCTATCTATCTATCTATCTATCTATCTATCTATCTAACTACTCAACCATTTGGTCCCTTGCGAGTTACACCCTTATATTCGATAACACCACGCTCCGACAGGGATTGCATAAAACGCAATACAGCCATTTCCAAACCAACTAATTCAACTGCTGAACCATCTCTAGGCGTATTAGGGCGACCTCTATTGCCGGCCTTCTCCGAAGAACCCATTTTATCCATCCAGGTACCGCAATTCCATTGATTGCCACCAAATACAAAACCGGTCTCAGGATGAATACCGATTTGATTATTAAAACCATTATCTGTCATATGAGCATCAATTTCATAGCCAGCATTACGTTCACGATATTGCAAACCTTGGAAATGTACTTGCAAAGCCTCTTGCATGACATCGATCAAAACCTGATCAAATTGGCCAGCGCCATGAGGTGCGGAATCATCGTAGGGGAAAATGCGAGAAACTTTATCTTTTAAAATATCTTTACCATGAGGAGCTTCCTCAACATATTGCTTAATACTATGCAACCACCACCAAACGGCATCGCGACAATTGAAGCGTGGTTTAGAGCCATTATCCAAAAGATTAGGTATCAAACCATGACGCAGACATTCGCCGAAACCCAAGATAATATAACGGGCTTCATTGAAACGACCAGTCAGCAACATGAGTCCACGTAGTGAAATGAAAGTATCACGACCCCAACAACGCATGTAGCCAGTAGAGAAGTGAGGTAAACCAGCTGATAAGGTAACACATTGTGCTGGTGGTTTTGGTGGCGCCAAGGCGGGGCTTAAAGCAGGCAAATTTGCTGACTTGCAAGCGGCCAAGAACTGTAGAGTAGCCAAGGCCAAGGTTTGAGGGAAATCATGACCTTCACGTATATGTTCGGGCATTAGTTGATAGACACGTTGTACCATGATATTATAAATACCACTGACCAAAGCATCAAAATAGCAAGGTATCAAGTAGCGTGGAATATTTTTCATGGGTTCAAAGGCCGATCTAATCCAAGCGGCCAAGGGTTTTGTACTTTCAGTATGGGACAAACGATCCGAAATATAATCTAGAATAATATATTTAGCATGTTAGTGAAATTTTAAGCTTTTTGGCCTAAGAAGACTTACCCATCATCCAGTCACCACTACGCAAGTTATTGCACAAAGGATGACCCAAATCATTGCGTGGAGAAATTTCCGTTAAAAGTGAAACAAAACCTTGCAGGCCGCAATAAACGATTTGACCCCAATCAGGTATATCATAGGCAGCACCTCCATAACCTGCATCACGTTCTTCTTGATCACAAGTAAACAAAATTCTATTTAAGTCTGTCAAGTCAAGCTTTTCAGCAATTTTTTGTAATTCATTAAAAGCAGGACCTTCTTCGTGATGTAGAGATTTGGTGAGTGTATGTAAAGTTTCAAAGCTAGTATGTAACTCCGGTTTCAAAGAAGTTCTTTAAGAAAATATTAAAAATAATATTGATTTTACTTTTATCTGGAAGTTTTGATTACCTTATAGCCACCACAGAACCAGGTTTCAAATTAACAATTTCCAATTGTGTTATATTTCCATCCATATAGGGCACTATACGGAAGACTTGTGATTTAGACAAGGGTATGTGTTCCCTTAAAGTCAATTGGAATTGATTGAAACCATTGAGAACATTTGGATTCTTTTGATGAGGAGCTGGACGATCGAATGGTTTATCTCCCTTCAATGTTAATTCGGCCCTCTAAAATGATCTCATCCAGAATACCCTCAAAACGTAAAGGTCTTACAAATGTGGGACCAGCATTGGGATGAGGATAACCAAACACGGTATGAGCTATCAAAATAACACTTTGATGGGTGGTGGGAGAATGACGTGTTACTGCCACAATATCAGGATTCATTTGATCAACAAAGACCTGGGTAAAACCTTCTTCCGCCAGCTGACCATGCAAAATATTTAAAGCTCTCTTGGCGGCTATAATACCGCTCTTGAAATCAACACCTTTGCCCCATTCCTGGTAGGGACGTTCTTCATCAACCACATGAATCTGTTGTAAAAAGTATTATCTTTATATTTTGAAATTAATTTGTAAATTGTTCCATTAAACTTACATGATGAGGCACCAATTCATCGTAGCCACGATTGCTACCAGTGGCACAAGAAGCCATAGCTACTAGAGCTGCCGAAGGCAAAAGATCATAGACAGTTCTTTTCTCCACCGGTGAGGGGTTATCATGAGTCAAATCCATGAACAAAGCATGAGCTATGCTAGGAGCCAAATCACGATTAGGATTTTCCAAGAAAGCTCCAACCGGTTCACCGCCATAACGATATACTAAACGTCCCTCCTCATGGGAATCCCAAGCAGATAAGGCTTCTCTAATCAACGATGTTATGCCCAACGATTAACGAAAACATTGTCGGTAGCATCTGAGTTAGTGAATAACTCAGCGACAACATATAAATTGGGATTAACTTCACGAGCAGCATCCAAAAGGTACTCGGCCACATGCAACGGAGTCGAATGGCAATTATCCAAACGAACACCATCAAAAATACGAGCTGTTGTTACCACATACTCCTTCATATGACTCCACAAATAAGGACTTTCTTCGGGACGACGACCATAACGCAATTTGACACTATCACCCCAGGCAATAAGTTCTCTCTTCAAATAAACATTAGCACGACCAGGCTGTTCTTCAGCAAAGTCCTTTAAGGGATCACTGGCTCCCATAACCCAACCGTTGTGAGCCATAAAGAATTCACCCATTTTACCATACATACCCTCCTCAATTTCCAACAAACTCTTGCCGAGAGCTTTAGTTTTAGTGAAATATTGCATAAATACTGGATGTTTAATAGAAATTTCACTAATTCTGGGACCATCCTCCTGTACACGTTCATATCTAACACCAGCCAAACAGTTCTCAATAGCATAGTTAAGATAATCTTGGATTTCACAACGAACTTGTTCGTTTAACCACTCCAAATGGCGACGGAAAGTATCAGAGCATTTTCTCAAACGAGACTCTTCATCGAAGCAATCGCCATGGAAACCATTAAATATCTCCAAAGCTAATTCCAAATTAATGGTGGCACCCAAACGTTTATATTCCGGATCCGCAATTAATTGTATTTCCGCAAAACGTTCACCTTTCGCTACATTTGTAGGAGGTTCCCTTAATCTGCACTGCTTCATAAACTCCTCCACATAATGCATGACATTGCATTGATACAGTTCGTAAACATTTATTTTGGGTAAATAAACCTGATGCAGTTGATAGCTAAGAGCTTGTAAATGATGTTCATGATTTATAACTTTGGGTACTCCGACATTTTCTAAAACACCATAGGCAATATCTTCACCACATTTAGCCAAGAGAGCATCAAGAAGAAAAGCCGGTCTTAAGTAGGGAGCAGTAGCACAAGAATAAGTAGCATCTGGATGTTCCAGCAACCATTCCGATTCATTGGCGGTATGATTTAAAACGATATCACAAATAGAAGCCACCTTAAGTGTTCAAAATGCAACAAAATTAATACATTTTATGGTAAAACTCTATTTCAACTTACACCCCATTCCTGACGCATTTTCTTAATAATAGCTTCCACATCATCAAGGTGACTTTAGCTCCCTTGCCAGCGGCAAAATGAGGATTAACGCGCAATTGGTTGCGCAAAGAATAGGCTGATTTAGAAGCACCCATTCCTGAATAGGCGTAAAATGAACCATATTGTAACCCGACTCTTTGGCCACTCTCAACTTTGCTTCCCAGGTGTTAATAGGACCCAAAAGTTTGGCCAAAACCGTCTGACAGCGCACAGAATTTAAAGGTATGATTTTCTGAGCCCCTGGTGGACCAACACTCAAATTGGGCTCAACTTGTATATAAAGAGAACCGGCAATTTCTTGCTTTACACTAAAAAAATTTCCAAAACAAAATATATATTAAAATTTTATCAAGTAATTTACTAATTAAAATTCCAAAAAATTTACTTCTCTTTAAAATGATACCAAAAGCGAAATGTACCCGACATATTCATATTCAATTCCGTATAAATATCGGTATCCACTACATGTAATGAATTATACTTGTTGGTCGTTATTTTCTTACCACTTTTCAGAAACCAATGTAATATTCTATATTCGGTACGTTTGAATTTTGATCTGTAATTATTAAAGTTTTCAATATTTATTTACAAAGAATGTAGTGCAATTATAAGATCCTTACCACTATGAGGATAATTTGTATACAATACAATTTCACGTCCCAATAGACCAGCATCGGGATGTATATGCACGGTGGAGCCGCATTTCACACGATATAATGTGTGCTCAGCATTTTTACCCTCCGTTATAGGTATGCTGATGGCTTTGGTATTTTTCACCATGCTGATATCCTGAAATTAAAGAAAGTTTTCACAAAATTTATTTTACGGGAATTCAGAATCTGAACATTGAACATTCATTTAAATTAGTATATAGAAGATAATCGGGCTATTGATAAGTAGATAAGCAAACTCTTTCAGAAAATATCTCTAATCACATAAAAGATTTATAAACGATAACATCTATTAGGAATTTCAATACCGGGATAATTAATAAATTTAGAAAGAATAATTTAAAGAATTTTATATATTAATGAAACAATGAAATTCTTTTGATCCTGATAAATAGAATTCAGATAAAATCGATCTGTTCATGACATAATAATCCGTAACTTAATAAACCAATGAAAACCAAACCAACATGCTTCAATGCTCTTTGTCAATATCATTTCGATCAAATTCTATAAATTCATAATCTTCTTCGGTCGGTTCAAGATTGTCTACGGCAGATTTATGATCTTATTCTATTAATTTTTGAACTTTGTTGATAAATTCACAATTCTAATTTTAAATGATAAAATTCTATTAGTAGATTCAAAGAGGCTTAATCTTTATAAAAAATTTATTTTGTTCCATTAATCCATAATCTTTATATTAGATGACCTATAGATTTATGATCCTTGTTGATCGAATATTGTTCGATATCTTCAAAGAGTCTTAATTTTCTATATATTTATGATTATCATCATAATTATCATAATCAATAGATTCACGATCGTTTTATTACTTATGTGGGCCGGACTAACTAACTAAGTACACCAACTATCTGAAATATGTTTACGATATCTCCATTAGTTCACAATATACCGAATAAAACATTTTAAAACCACTGGGCGTCATATTCATGATCCATCTATTTTATTCCCACCATCAATAACATGAGATATTGATTACATTTTGGGTCCTAAGTGATTTATAGAATGGGGTCACTCTATAGTCTCCATTTCACATACGAAGTCAACTACTGGGGATCAACTCGTAAACATCTATGTCAAATTTCTCCGCGATATCTCCAATATTACCAAAATAAAACATTTAAAAAAACACTGGGCGCCATCACGATCCCACTATTTTATGCCCACCATCAACAAGATGAGATCTTGATTACATTTCGGATCCTTATTAGATATAATAGACGTCCGTTTGCCTTGAATTTTGGGGTTGAATTTTTTCACAAATATTCTTTATTTACAATCACAATGCGAAATTTTAGTCCAAGATTTCACCTAGACCACGCATACAAGTGTTACAGTTAAAGCAGCAAATAATATTATGATTTTAAAGGAATCGTTACAAAATTTTTGCACCAATTAGTTTTACATAACCAGAAATTATACTTTAAAGTAAGAACATAGATCTCATATGTTCAAACAAATTAATCACTCTTTTAAATTTATAAAACACGGTCCATAATAGACCATAACCAATGCACAGTGGTATAGGAAAAAAAAGAGGGAAATAATTCGGTAACTTCTAAACGGTTAATCCGATTTTAATGAATTTAGTATGCACAAAGAGGAGGTGTTGTCGAGTTTAGGTTTGAATTTGGACCTTATAGGCCAACCAGGGGCCCGGCGGGGGTCCTCAAATTAGGACACCTCGGCTATGTTAAATTTTTAAAACGATCCTATTTCTTCATTTGAGTTCCGATTTAAAAAAAATTTCGTATATAGAATCTCCTCATCGAGCACAATGTCGTCGTAGCAGTAAATTATCTGTTATAGTTAGGAGATATTCGCATTTGAAAATTAAAATTTTAAAATTTTTACCGTCCTTACTTTAGTTTTTTGATAATAGCGGGTCTAATATTCCCGATTTCGCCATTTTTTTTTATTCGCTAAACAACAAGTTTATATATCAAGCAGTGAAAGAATTATGTAAAAATCATGACTGAGTCCAAAGTTATAGGCATTTTAATTTAAAAAATTAAAAAAAGGAGATTTTCTGCCATTTTTTGGGAAAAAAGTAACTTTTTCTTTTTAAGTTATCTAAAAAGTTTCTAAGAAGATGTATATAGAATTTATACTTTTTGGAAAGCTGACTTTACATAAAATACGATAAATGAAACAAAACCTAAACATTTTTGATACCGAGGGGACCAGGTCCATCCAAAAAAAACCCTATTTTTTATGGAAAATTACATTTTGAGCAAAAATTCTCAATCGCATAGTCGATATCAAATTATAGTGACCTGTTTTATATGACCCAATATGTTCTTAATCATTTGTAACGGATTTCGATAACCCCGCCCCTGGTATGGATATAATAGGCAAAAAACCAAAAAATACCATTTTTGGGATATTTTAAAACTTTTTTGGGAATTCCGGGATTTCTAATAAGAAAATTCGAAATTTTTATTTAATTTTGGATTTTGAGTAAAAAAATCTACCTAACTGTAAAATTTCATCAAAAAATATTCATAAATAAAATTTTTATTGCAATTTGAAAAATTTGTATCTTCGCAAAAACTGAATAAAAAACATTTTTTAATTTTTTTTAAAAAAAGTATTCCGCGAATTTTTTAATTTTCAAAAATTATATACAGTTTTGAAAAATAGACAAAATTACCTTTCCATTGATATATAACATGCCTACCTAATGTTTTTTAAGTGACAAATTAATTAGGAAAACTCAACATCTATTATCAAAAAACTAAAGTAAGGACGGTAAAAATTTTAAAATTTTAATTTTCAAATGCGAATATCTCCTAAACTATAAGAGATAATTTACTGCTAGCACATTTTTTATAGTGCTCGATGAGGAGATTCTATATACGAAATTTTTTTTTAAATCGGAAACTCAAATGAAGAAATAGGATCGTTTTAAAAATTTAACATAGCCGAGGTGTCCTAATTTGAGGACCCCCCGCCGGGCCCCTGGTTGGCCTATAAGGTCCAAATTCAAAACCTAAACTCGACAACACCTCCTCTTTGTGCATACCAAATTTCATTAAAATCGGATTAACCGTTTAGAAGTTACCGAATTATTTCCCTCTTTTTTTTTTTCCTATACCACTGTGCAATGGCGGAAGAATCGAATACAAAAAGATCTAGAGGTCCATATGTCTGATTTGTGAATGTATCATATATGTATATGTATCTACATCTGGTAACTAGAATGTCCCGAGAAACATGGTAATGTTCTAAAACTCTTTTTAATCAAAATTAGCCTAAAGAGATTACAATTATTTTTCATAGGCCGGGATTTTGAATTGATTCATAGAATTTACAAATTTTTATTTTTCCATATTCACTACAATAATACGCTTCGTTTGAAAGTCCACGGGACACTCTACTGGTCACGTAAGTATGATAACTGTACAACCGCAATTTTCTTAAACAATTATCTATAATGCGTGTAGAATACATAATTCTTTAAGAAAAGAATGAAAAATTTCCAAATAAATTTACTACTAGCATCAAAGTTGAATGATTCATATGTCATTGCCAAATTTTAGAGGAGAAAGTCTTAATGTGATCATTTCAATAGGAGAATATTTGAAAATAAATTATTTAAAGTTTATGGCTATAGTATTTAACAATTTTATATTTCAATAACAAAATATGTACATACATATGAATGTATAGCACGAACATGTGCTGAAAAAAAACTAAATATCTCGTGTACTCAGATATAAGGGTACATTCTTTATACTAAAGAATGATCTAAATTTTTGTTGAAAACATATTATGTCATTCGTTGATTTAAAAGTCATATCACTTATTTCACTTTCAATTAATGGTCTGCATTTGAGAAAATAATAAAAAAAAACAATTATGTTTAATTTAACACTACAAAATATTTACTAAATTAATAGATGAACGATTTTCAGTATAATTGATATTGCTATTGTTGTTGTTGTATTAGTATTGATTGTAGTGGTGGCGCCCCAGACATTAGAGTTATTTGTTTTTGAAATATAATAACCTATAGTTATTAATGCAAACCACAATTTATTATTAGATTTATATATTTTAATCACCAATTTCAAATCAAAAAAAACTAAATTTATTAAATCTATTTTTAACACACACACACAAAATTAGTTTAAATTATGCACTTTACACCATTTTACACATCACACAGACACATGCTTCCATTTTATAATTATTATTCAAAACACATCATTAAACTTATTAATTATAATTTATAATTAGAATAATTGATTAAGCACTTCTTGAAAACAACATCACTTAAAAAAAAACATCATCATTAAAAAAGTATTTAGCAATTTTATTTAAAAAAAAAAAAAACAAATTAACCCAAACATACCTCCATACTTTGAGTTCTTGATGTTTTATTACCCATAATTTTAAATATTTTATTCGATAATGATTTTGTTGTTCTTGTTTTGTTCGCGATCGTTGTGTGTTTTCTGTTGCAGTGTTGCTGTTGTTGTGATTGATATTTGTTTTTAACAACTGTTCGTTCATCGGTGGTACTAGTGACAGGGAGTGTCTTCATTGTTCTTGACTTTCTACTAATGTCATTTTGTTCGTTTCTATTTGTATTCCTATTCAACGGCAATGACATTTTCTTCTTCATTGTCAGCTGCTGACTAGCGTTCATATGCCCAACGCACTATATACAGACTCAAGACAACTGTTAGAGCAGTTGAAAAATTTCGTTGATACCACTTTGAAAAACCCATTGGATACCATCGAGCCACCACCATTTTCGTTTATGGTTCAAAACTAAGATTTATTATTTAAATTTAAAGATGTTATAAATATAATTAGTAGTTAAACAAAAAAAAAAAGTTTAAAAAAAATATATTTAAATATATCAATAGATAGAAGGCATTTCAAGTTTACGGCTTGAAAGCGATAAGTTAAATGATGCTTGGAAAAAAATAAATTTGAAAAACAAGTGAAGCATTTAAACAACAAAAAAAGCTTCAGGAAAAATTGTACAATAGTATAGACGATATACAAACAGAGAGAACAACAAAACACAAGTAAATAGTAAATACACTTTAAAGAATAATTTTTTGAATTGAAAAG